AGGGGGCAGCAGGAAAAGGGCAAGGGCCGGGGGATCCCCAGGGGACAGGGCACTGAGGAAGGGGGCAGCAGGAAAAGGGCAAGGGCCGGGGGATCCCCAGGGACAGGGCACTGAGGAAGGGGGCAGCAGGAAAAGGGCAAGGGCCGGGGGGGGGGATCCCCGGGGACAGGGCACTGAGGAAGGGGTCAGCAGGAAAAGGGTAGAGGTCCCGGTTGTGGGGGACAGGACCAGATATGAACGGAGGGCAGCTGCCGCTTGGCCCCCAGCAGAAGACCTCCCAGGCGCACACACCCCTCTAACAGTCCCGTCCACACTCACAGCGCAGCCTCCGCCGCAGGACCCGGCACCAATTCAAATCCCCCCGCCCGGGACGGGAAGGGAGAGGGCGGCTGCTTCCTGGGAGGGAGGGGTGGGTAACGCGACGCGGGTCGGGGACACTCACAGCCCCACCAGGAACCGACTCCGCCTCCTCCTCCAGCCCGGCTCACAGAAATGGGGGAGGAGCGGAACTGACGCCAACGGCAGCCCAGAGCCTCGACCTGCCTAGGAGAGCGGCAACACGGCGCATGCGCCTGCCGGCCCCGAGTCTTTCGTTGGCTTCCCCGTGCCGTTGCTCCTGAGAACGAGGCTACTGGCAAGGCGCGGGGAGGGTGGGCGGTGTGCGAGCCATCCAAGGGGCTGAGAGAGGTGGGCGGGGTCACTGAGGGGCTGAGAGAGGTGGGCGGGGTCACTGAGGGGCTGAGAGAGAGGCTGCTGGGTTACCTGGTGGTTTGGCTGGAGAGAGCAGCTGAGACTGACGGGTTGCACTTTGTGTCCTGAGCCCCAGCAAACAGACCAGGAACCCACTGTGCGGGGTGTTGTACAGACACAGAACAAAGACAGTCCCTGCTTCAAAGAGCTTACAAGGGAGTTACCATGGGCCACGGATGAAGCTTCCCCTTGGGGAAAACTAGTCTCTGGCCCCAGCTCTTCCAGCCGGCCCGAGACCACACCCATGCTCCCTGCTCTCAGCCCCCCATGGCCCCAGCCAAGGGGAGGGAGGCTGAGAGCTGGGTTGGGGCCAGAGAGGCAGGGCTGAGATCTCGGCCCTGGCTGGAGCTCTGATCCCAGAGTCCCTCCCCCATTTTGCCCACAGCCCCTTCCCCTATACAGCCCCAGCCTCATTCCACCCCTTCCCCTGCCCTCATTCCTTCTTCACTTTGCCTCTTCCCCCTGAGGTCCTGTCCCCTGCTCAGCTCGCTCCTTCGTCCCCCTCCCACCACCAGCGGCCCTGAGACTGGAAAAGCTCTGTGACGGTGCCACTGCGGGGCTGAGGTGGGGGGGGAGATTTTTCCATGGGCCCCAAATCCACCACTGCCCTCCCCTGATGGCACGAGGGTTGAGGAGACTTAGCCTCCATTATGCACTCCCCATGGAGCTTTTGAAAATCCCACACCTAACTACTGTTTACACTCTGACCCCCTTGCTCCTTTCTTAGCTGTGCCCACTTTCCATTCAACCACATTTCCTTTCTCTCTGACTGTACCCCTTGTTCCCCACATGAGAAAATTGTATTTAAGGGACATATACTTACAGTAAAATAGCTGGTGTGACTAAGGGAAGGCTGTTAATGAAAAGAGATATCACTTTATACTGTAATTCCAGTAGGTGTCAGAGGTACAGGCCAACGTATGCAAGCTTAGGCTGAATGGGAGATGACCAAAGAAAACCCAGCAGTTTCAGGAAGCAGTGCGGATGATGCAGTACATAACTATTTAAATATTTATCAACAGTGGAAGTCATTGGGCCAGAGAGAGAAAGTGTGGGAATGACTCTGTAGCCTGGTGCCTAGGGCACCCACCTGACAGGTGGGAGACCTAGGGTCCAATCATTCTTTTTAATTATTTATCCACAGTGGAACAGCTTCAAAAGGAGCTGAGGTAAGTCAGGAAGATTTGGTATAAAAAGTCACTTGCTAGTTGAACTCGAGAGCCATGAACAGAGGCAGCCAAATGGTTAATCGCTTCCTGGTGTTGAGGAGCGGACCTGAGCCGAGCTAAGCATGGAAGTCTTGATATAAAAAGTCACTTGGTAAGTGAACTTGAGAGCCTCAAATGGGGGCATTTTTTCTTGCAAAATATTTGACAAGAATGCCAAATTGTTACTTGTGCTTTCAGGGTACGATTACTGGTATAACTTAGCTGATTCTCTGAAGTAACATAAAAAGTTATCCGGCCATTTTATGGCCTACTCCAAATTGATGGAGATCAAGTCCAGGCTCAAGCTGAATAAATGCATAGACGCAGAAAACTAGCGTATTATTAATGTAGAAACCCAGCATTGGAGGAACGTGCTCAAGTGTCTGATCTCAATAATTTGGCTTTCCAGGGCCTTTCGGATAAGTTGTTCACTGAACACAATGGTAATTTCCTCAGTTTGGTAGAGCTCCCTGGGAAATACTACAATGTCATGCATGAGCACGTACATCGAGTAGTTCGTAAAGAAACTATGGACCATTACTACAGCAAAACAATTGAAAACAAATTGATTTACCTTATGGCAAGGAAGGTGCTTGATAACATATTGATGCAGCTCGACAAAGCAAAGTACTATGCCATAATAATGGACTGCATTCCTGACATTCGTCACAGTGAAAAGATGTAATTTACAGTAAGATTTGTTGACAATGAGGATGGCTGTATCCAAGTAAAGGAACACTTTATCTGTTTCGGTCTGTGGACAACTCTACTGGAAAAGGCCTAACAGAACTGTTTATGAACGTTTTGAATGAGAATAAAATAAAGCTTCAGGACTGCCATGGCCAAGGCTATGACAAAGGCGTGAACATGAAGGGAAAAAACAGTGGTATCCAGGCAAGAATCCGTGCACTGAATCCAAGAGATCTCTTTGTGCCTTGTAACTGCCATTCCTTCAACCTGGTTGTGTCAGATGCAGCGTCATCTTCTTTAGATTCAGTATCTCTCTTCGGAGTACTGCAAAGGATATACATCCTGTTTTCAGCATCAGCTATCAGGTGGAAGATCCTCATGGACAATATCACAAATATGACCATGAAGCTACTAAGTGACGCTCACTGGGAGAGCCATATTAATAGTATAAGACCAGTGACATACCAAGTGACTGAGGTTTATGAATCACTGATGGAACTGGTGCAGTCAAGTAAAGCCAAGGCCGAAATTTGACACTAGGGTGCAAAGCCTGGCAAACCATATCACTGACTTCAAATTTCTGGTCTTAATTATGGTTTGGCATGATATTCTGTTCGAAGTAAACATTGTAAGCAAGGCATTACAAACTCAGTTGATGGACATTGCAACCACTACTACTTTGATGAGAAGCTGCCTTGATTTCATTGTGGCCTACAGAGACAATGGATTTGAAGATGCCATCACTCAGTTGATGGACATTGCAACCACTACTACTTTGATGAAAAGCTGCCTTGATTTCATTGTGGCCTACAGAGACAATGGATTTGAAGATGCCATCACTGCTGCCAAAGAAATGGCAGAAAACTTAGGAGTTGAATTTGTCTTCAGTGAAATTTGTATTCATTAGAAAAAGAGACAGTTTGGTTACAAGGGCAGAGATGAGGTGATGGGAAACTTGGAAGAAAAATTCAAGAGGGAAAATTCACTGCTCGAGTGTCCATTAAAGAAAGGTTTGGACAAATGAATCACTATGAAAAGACCTGGGGAGTTTTGTATGACCTTAGTAAGCTGCTGGCAGACAGGAAAACACTCTTGAACAATTGTACGGACCTTCACTGGACGCTGACACATGGGGGATATTTGGACATCAATGATAAAGACTTCTGTCAAGTTGGACAACAGCGGTCACATTTTGCAACATGGAAGCACTATCCACTTCAAGTTCTCCAATTCATGATGCAGGGCTGAAGGACACTTTTCCTAACCTGTGGATAGCTTTGAGGATTCTGATCATGCTGCCAGTCACAGTCACAAGTGGTGAACGCAGCTTTTCGAAGCTCAGGCTCATTAAAACATATTTTTGATTGACAATGGCCTAGGAGAGACTGACATCACTTGCTATTTTATCACTTGAAAATGCCATTGGCCAGTCTTTGGATTTCTCTGATACTGTGCTTCAGTTTGTGAGGGCAAAGGTGAGAAAAACGACCTTTTGAACTAAAGTAGTAGGATTAACATTCTAAGGCTGTCACCTACTGTAAGTATCAGAGGGGTAGCCGTGTTAGTCTGAATCTGTAAAAAGCAACAGATGGTCCTGTGGCACCTTTAAGACTAACAGAAGTATTGGGAGCATAAGCTTTCGTGGGTAAGAACCTCACTTCTTCAGATGCAAGCATATATATATATGCTCCCAATACTTCTGTTAGTCTTAAAGGTGCCACAGGACCCTCTGTTGCTACCTACTGTAAGGGGGCACGGATCAGTTTTCATGTCACACACTCAGTACTAGGGATGTGAATAGTGTTTAAAAAAAGTAACCATTTAAATTATTAAAATTGTATTGGTTAAATGTTTAACCGTTAAGGAGCTCACAACATAGGCGGGGAACAAGCGGTGCAGGCGGGGAGTGCTGCAGCACCCTCACGTCTTATGTGGGGCTCAGCTGCCACCCTGTAGCTTGGATCCCGTCTGCTGCCCTGCACCCAACATCAGCTGCCCTGCACCCATGTCAGGGTTCCCTCCCCACTCTGAACTTTAGGGTACAGATGTGGGAACCCGCATGAAGACCCCCTAAGCTTTTTTCTAGCAGCTTAGGTTAAAAACTCCTCTATTCTTTGGATTAAGTCACGCTGCCACCACCAAGTGATTTTAAACAAACATTTAGGGAGGGCCACTTGGGGCCCTATCTTCCCCAAATATCCCCCCAAGCCCCTACATCCCCTTTCCTGGGGAGGCTTGAGAATAATATCCTCACAAATTGGTACAGATGAACACAGACCCAAACCCTTGGATCTTAAAACAATGAAAAAACAATCAGGTTCTTGAAAGAAGAATTTTAATTAAAGAAAAGGTAAAAGAATTACCTCTGTAAGATCGGGATGGTAGCCAGCACCGAAAAAAAATCTGTGAAACTGAGAAGAGTGCTATACTGTAGTGATGCTTTTAGGTGAAGATTACATCAAAAAGGAGAATGAGGAGAATGCAGTAGAAAATGAACAGCTACAAGTGATCATTTGGGCAAGCAATCGCATCATGCTGAGCATGTAGGCAGGGTGGGTGTGTCCATGCAAACGAGATCAGCTTCTGAAGTCTTTTTCCACAGCCCACCACTAGATGTCAAGGGAGAGCTCATCCAAACTCTGCTTACATATATAAATTTTTTTATTAAAGTTAATGTTTAAAATCAAATTTACACAAGTTAAGAAGGAAGGTACTGTACATCTGGGGTCAGGCTTAAGTTATGAAAGGTTACAAGGTTCACAAGATACATGCATAGTACATAACCAGCATAGGCCCAGATTGGGGTGCGAGAGTTTTTAAAACGTCAGTGGATAAGTGGGCTCGGGTACTCCATCCATAGAATGTATTTAGAATCCAAGTCTGTATTGGTGTAGTGAATAAGTACATGGGTAGGGTGCGTCCCTTGGTTCATCAGGGAAGGAAGTGGGTTATTTTCCTGGCCGGCGGTCTTGATTACTTGACCAGTAGGGCCAGAAGCAGACCCTCGGGCCTGGGTAGCAGCTGGAATTATGGACAAATTCAAAATATTTTATATATCCTTGAAAATTTAAAGTTGATTTGTGACAAAAGTATTTAATATTCAGAAATGCTAGATTTACAAAAATATTTAGGGATAGTAGGGATTTAGTCTTTAGGGATAATAAAAAAATAATAAAAAGCAAGTAAGTGTAATCAACACACAAACAGCAGGTTACCTCTGATTTACTTTGTTTTAAACTATCCAACATAGCACATTGATACATGTCTTTTGCTCCTGGTTTATGTTTATGAACCATGTTTGCGGTGTTTCCCCAGTATTAATGCCGCAAGTTACTTCTCTCCTTTTATTAAAAGTTTTCTGCTCCACTCAGACTCTGTGCTTGCAAGAGGGGAAGTATTATCTCTTAGAGGTGCCCAGGGGGTGGTGTGTGATTGTCCCAGGTCACTGGGTGTGGGCTTGAGCCAGTTTTGCGTTGTATTATTGAAAAGGAACCCTAGATACTGAACCCGGCCCTTGTTGCTGCCAACTCTGACTGGCAGAGGGGTTACATAAGATACAATAATCCATCTCATTGGCTGGAATTGCAGTCTATGAGAAGTAATGCTGCCACCACCCGGCCCTTCCCAGTTCTAGTTGGGATCCACAACTCAATCCATTTCTTATACATTCAGAATGTGTGTGTGTGTGTGGGCGGGGTGTTTACCCATAATGCATAAACTGCATTCACAGGTTAAAATATTACTGTATTTTAGATCACAAAAGTAATCAAGTTCCCCATGCTCTGCTAAAATGAGCTCATGAGAGGTCTATAAACTACAATAAGTTTTGATAACCTAAAGAAAACGTTATACAGCCATTCAGTTGCCTATTAAACAAATTTCACATTTGCATTTACTTGAAAACCTCTTATTTTATATAGTTTACTACAACTCTTATGAATCATACTGCTGATAATAGGACTGATCCTGCAGAACATTGTCAGACCGTTGGTTTCAATGGGAACCAAGGACACTAAATATCTAGCAGGAGGTGCTAAGCACCTTGCAGGATCAGGGCCAAGGTCACCAAGACGCATGTTAATAAAGATGCTGATGTATAAAGGTTCTGTATACAATCTACTTTGCAGAACACACTTCTTAATAGCACCAGCTTGGCACATGTACAAAACTTGGCAACATGCAATCCAGCAAACTGCCTCTATATTCTCTGTCTGGAAGAAATTCACTTGTGTGTCTGTATGTTTTTACAAGTACTCTATGTATTACATTGCGTCAGCTCCATTGCTCTGAGTTTTAAATAGTCTGGGAACATTTTATTAACCCCCGGGTGCGGGGCTGGCAGCCAGGATCCCGGGTGTGGGGCCAGCAGCTGGGCACAGGGTGGCAGCAGAGCCCTGGGCGGGGGGGCGGAAGCTGGGATCTCGGGGGCGGAGGCAGGGCCAGAAGCTGGGACCCTGGAGGCGGGACTGGAAGCCTGGACCACGGGGGCGGGGGCGGAAGCCGGGACTCGTAGAACAGGGCTGGAAGCTGGGACCTGTGGCGCAGGGCAGCAGCCGGGACCTGTGGCACAGGGCACCAGCTGGGACAGCAGCTGGGGTCCCAGGAGCAGGCTTGCAGCCGGGACCACAGGCACAGGGCCGGCAACCAGTGTTACCCCAAAATTTGGACTTAAGGTATCCCAGTACCGGCCCACTTATCCAAATGGGGAAGAAAAGTGGTGATCTGCCCTAAAGGAATTGCCAGAGTATCACCAGAGGGTTTGTCTTTGACCCGCAGAGGACTCCCCAGAGCAGGCTAATCCTGCTAACCCTTGAAAGAACATGGATACAACCCTCCAATCATGAATAGACACACAAGCACACACAGTAATACCTTATTTATTAAAAGAAAGTTAGGTAGTTACAGTATATTTAGTAGAAAAGGGGAAAAATTACAATGTATAATATTCAGTAAAGCAAGAGAGGAAAAGGAAAAACAGTTATAAATAAGGCATAATTAGATTACTTTTAAAAATCATACATTCAATTGACTCAGAGACTAAACAGACTATGAGACAAATAGAATGTTGCGAGTTGGTACACACTGAACTTTTCATACATATGCATAAGGCCTTTAATACAATAACATTGGATTTATTACAGTGTAACATACAAGTATTGGATGCATATGCATAAAACAGTGCCACAACATAGCATTAAAGAAACATTAAACAATTGCATCCGAAGAAGTGGGCTGTAGTCCACGAAAGCTTATGCTCTAATAAATTTGTTAGTCTCTAAGGTGCCACAAGTACTCCTGTTCTTCTTTTTGCATTAAACAATTAACAATTACCATCCTGTGAACAGTGGCCAGCCACTCACAGGATGGGGTGGGGCAGGCCATTCAGAAGCAGGCATCTAGCTTTATTGACAGACACACCCAAGCAGGCTTTTTAAAATAGTCAAAAGTCAAACTTACACTCCTTCACCAATTCCCTCTGTATTATCTGGGTCCTTGTTGCTGTCTGTGATCTTCCTTGACTGCTGCTTGGTCTTCTCCAATCTCTAATCTCCTCAGTGTTCTTCTCTTGATCTTCTCCGCTCTCTTTCTCCTACCACACACACACTAGCTTATCAGCTGTCTCTTTATATTTGGTTTCTGACCTCCTCTGATTGGTTGACCTTTCAAGCTGAGAGTTCCCTGATTGGGTGGCAACTCATTCAGCCAGTCAGCTTTGCCCTTACATCATAGCTGCTCCTCCTTCTGCCCCCTCCCTGCAGGTGTTTTAAGTCATTCTCCTGAACTTTGTTCGACCTTTGTTTCTGATGTACTAATGGTCAGTTTAGTCTGTGTCCTCCATCTTGGAAATTCCTAATAGAAAGTTAGTACGTCCACCATTTTGGATTTTTAACTAAGCTATCATTAATTATAATTTACCTAAAGCATCTAGCCTAAAACTAACCACTGTCCCCTACAAACTAATGCATTCTAATGCTATCATTACCTTTTAAATGCTAATTGGAAGAGATTAATTGTTTCTCACTTCCCCTCACCCTCCAGCTGTCAGTATCCCTATCCAGGGTGCTGCAATTGACATTCCCCTCTGGTGTTGTCTGGACCAGTGATCTGCTAGGCCTCTCCAATCCTTGACTCTGGGAGCCAGCCTTACCCTGCTGTACTGAACCCCCACTCCTGGGCTGTTCACGCACAGCCTCTGGCATGTAAGCTGCTCCCAGCTACTTGCAAGTGAATGAAACTAGCCAATATCTCCGGTCCCAGAAACAACCCTAGGAACCTCCATCTTGCAGTATCCAGTTATGCCCACTGGATGCTGCAAGCTTATATAAGTTCATCAATTTAACAAAGAAATTGATATGTACCAGGCTTGTTCTCCCAAGGAGAGTCTCTGACACACTGCAGACCAAATGCACTGCTTCAAGCAGAATAAACAAACAGATTTATTAACTATTAAGATAGATTTAAGTGATTATAAGTCAAAGCATCACAAGTCAGATTTGGTCAAATTAAATAAAAGCAAAACGTATTCTAAGCTGATCTTAACACTTTCAGTGTCCTTACAAACTTAGATGCTTCTCACCACAGGCTG